GTATTTATAATAGCAGTTGTTGGCCAGAGTGTGAGTAAAGGTACTCTCATGACTGTCCAAAATGCTGGCTAACTCATCTACTGAATATATCTCAATAATTAATTTTCTTTCGTTTCATTAGTACCATTTGGCTCTTTCTAAAATCTTCCCATTCGTTCCTGATAATTTCTTTGTGTTTGTCCCTATTTATGATTCTAACTTTTAGTTCCTTAAACTTTCATTTATAGCTATTCTATATTCTATACCTGATAATTCCAGTATCTGATTTTCTTCTGGATCTATATTTGTTAGGGTATAAACTTGACTGCTATAACATAGAGAACCCAAATAACAAGACAGGCATTTATTTATTTGTCCAAATAGTTCAGTACTGGTCTGGACCCACAGTCCAACCCACAGTCAGCAGGATTCCAAGCTCCCTCTCATTATTACACTGATATCCTCAACATTTCACCAGCTCCTACCATCTTGTCCACATTCCAGAGAGTAGAAAAGAGAAAACAGGGAACATAAAGGGCACACTTTTTGATAGCTGGGCTTAAAAGTTATACTCATTGCTTCTGCTCACACCCCTTTAGGCGAGAAGTCGTATGACCAGACCAATGTACAAGGCAGTCTGAAAAATGTAGTTGTTACTCTTATCTAAAAAATATATGGCTACTGAGAAGGTATAAAATGGATATTGAGGGACAACTAGTAGTGTCTATCACAGAAGTAAGTCTCAGTGCTTCTGCTGGTTTTCCCTCTTAGTGGTTGGCCTCATGCTTGATGATCTTTGATTATGAGCTTATATTTGCTTGCTCTTAATCTGTGGAAATCTTTTGAACCTAAAATTAAGGATACTTTCCTCCAGAAAGAGTTTGGTTTGCTTTTGCCAGGAACCAGGAGGTTGATGGTCCTGGTCTGAAGTGGAAGTCTTCAGTTCAACTTCCCCACCTCTGGCTAGTCTGAGGGTTAATATCCTGGTCTTAGTGATGCTAAAGATATTTGCACTTATAGGTGACCCCATATTTGCTATTTGGTTACTGGCCACTGCTCCCATTTCTGATTTCAGTTCTTGGTTAATGGTTTTTGCTTTTGTTTCATTTGATGAACAGACAAAACTCTTACTTGCTGGGATCTTAGCAATGCATTTAAATATGTTTTATCTAAGGTCTAATTGTTTTGTAATAGAAGGGTGTTTCAAGGAATACTGGCCCAGGATATTGCGAGACCAGAAATGTCCCATTCACTCTTCAATTTACTTTAAGTCTGACTTTTTCTTTGCCTCTCCAGCTTGCCAAAGTTTCCAGTAACTTCCTTGTTAACAAACCTAGTGGATACATTTCTGTCTTCATCTTATACAAACTTTCAGCAGCATTGACATAGTTGTACCATTTATTCTTTCACCTAACATGAGTCATTTACTGTTTTGAATGCGAAGGAGTAACCAGAACAGACAAAAATACTATAGAGAGAAAACAGACAATAAACAATAAACAGATGTAATGTGTAATATGGACAAAGGTGATATGTGCTATGGAACAAAAATTGGAGCAGGGCAACAAGGGACATCAGGAAGAGAGGGCTGGAAGAGAGGCTGCAATTTAAAAGGTGGAAAAGGTAGGCCTCCTTGAGAAAGTCATATCTGAGCAAATACTTGAAGGAAGTAAAAGATCCGGGAGCCGCCGGGCTCGGTGGCTCAGCCTGTAATCCCGCGCCTTGGGAGGGTGAGGTGAGTGAATTGCCTGAGCCCATGGGCTCGAGACCTGCCTGGGCAACTTAGTGAGATCTCATCTCTACAATAAAAAAAAAAAAAAAAAAAAAGCCAGGTGTGTAGCGCGTGCCTGTAGTTCCAGCTACTTGGAAAGGCTGAGGCGGAAGGATTGCCGGGAG